CTCAAGGCACACTGCCCTGCATGTTTTAGATGTTTCCCAGCTTCCACACACCTGTTATCAATTGATAGCAGATTATCAGGCTCTGCTGAACTGCAGTCATCTGAATCGGGTGTGCTGAAGCTCAGAAACATCCAAAACATGCAGAGCAGGGTGCCTTGAGGACCAGGGTTGAAAAACACTGGGCTAATGAGCTAATAAGAAGCAAGTGTGAATGGAACTAACTAGAAGGAAGCCAAGGGGAAAGGAAATAGGCACAAGGGAGCAACTGAGAGAAACTCCAGAAATATGAAACTGCATAAAAATAACATAAAATGGAAAAAAAATAAAAAAAATAAAACAATGAACAAAGAAAACACAGAATAAAATGAATCAAAGTGGAACTGCAAACTTTAAAAAGAAACTAAAACAAAAGTACAGAACAGGAGAACTATAACAGTGTTATCCTCAAAAGTTTCATTTTAAAAGTAGAAATGTAAAAACATGAAGAGAAGTAGAATAAAAGTGCTGAAATGTCCCTCTTTATTCTCATTGGTACCCAATAGACTGTGTTTTTTATTTTTTTTATTATGGCATTAGCCAAAAAATATATATCACAAAAGGTATGTACAGTTTGCAAATCAAAATCTGAATATAAACATTTCTCTTTAATGTGAGCCGATGAGAACCTCTAAATGTCTATTGCCAAAATGTTTGCTGTTTAATTTGTTTTTTTGTTTTTCTTTATGTAAGTGCATGCATAAATATACATATGTATGTGTGTTCGATTCCTAATAATCTTAAATAAAGAATGTTCAACAAAAAAAAAGACAGGCATACAAATACATTTTTCAAAAAATCAATCTATAAATATCTGTGTCATTGTTAAAACTTTTATCCTAATTGAGATATTTTTTTTTCTTTTTCTTGAACCATAACTTGAAGCTAAACCTTGGCTTTACACCACATGTTACAAAGAAAATCCATTACTATATAAATTCAGCAACTACATTAACTAAAGCTCACTGTGGGCTGAAATAACTACAGACAGGGCAAGCTGTTGTGTTTGGAAAAAAAGAGGGAGGGGACTTTTTTTAAAAAGACGACAGTGTTCCAACTCGACAAACTAACAGAGTAAACACTACAGACAGGAATTGGGTTTCCTTAATTGTGACCATGGGTGTAAGAGGGCCAGTGGGTGCCTATCACCCAATGTTGGAGCACTTCAGCCCTGTGAGAAAGCTCAGACTGAGTGCAACAGATGGCCATGCTGTGCTCCAAGCAAGCCACTGTCCAACAGGAGCAGCTGAAAAATCCTGGTCAGCCTCAATGGGACTTTGCAATGTCTAAAGTAGACTTTGTTCTACTTTAGCACTGTCTATATAAACAGAATTTAATTAAAGACAAAGGGAAAAAAAACTTGCTATAATACCTACAATCTTCAGTGAAATTATGTTTTTTTTTTTTTTCAATCCAATCCAATCCACTTTATTTATATAGCATGGTTTAAATAAACACAAGGTTTCCAAAGTGCTGCACAAAAAGATAAAATAACTAAAATAAATAAAAGTAATAAAATAAAATAAAATAAAATAAAAGCACTGCCCGCACAGGATAAAAATATGCATGTGTATACATAAAATCAACATGTGTTTTTTGTATCTGTTCACCATTGACCCAGTCTAGGTATAGGGAGGCAGTGTGAGTTCTCGAATAGGCTCCTCCTTGCGCTTTGGCGGGAAACGGCTGTGCGTCCCTAGAAATTCCAGAACGACGATGCAGAAGCACACCAGCAAAACTGGTTCGCGACCAAAACCAAGCGACATTTGATGTGTGCGTTTGCAGAAGTATAATCTGCCCTTTAAAAGTCCTTCAAGTCCAGATAGGTGTAATAGTCTAATAAACCCTTTTGCTAATTTAAATTGGTCTTAAATTTGAAACTTTTAGCATATTTCTATTGCTTAGACTTTACCTAACCTTTTGAAAAAAAACATAACTGTAAAAAAACAGTCAAAAAAATATGTTGAGGTCTTATTATTAAATCAAGATAATAATTTAGTTTTATATAATCAAAACCAGCTTATTATGCTGTGGAAACTCTACGTTTTGTTATATCACTAATGACAATACAGCTGATAATATCAGAGATTTTATGTTCAACACCTTTACACTTTGAAGAGAGTTTGACCTTTATGATGAATTGCAGGCGTCATTACCAGGAGAAAATTGCCAAGTAACCACACATATTCTTATTTAAGCAAAGCTGCAAAACAGGGCATCTGGATTACCGATCAGTGTGCAAGATTCATCTCACTCACTGCTCCCAGTTTAACATATTGGCATTTCTGAGGTGGTTGGTGGTAATTGTCAGCCACACGGCGGCTCCTCGTTTGTTTCAGTGACATTTTGCCTTTGCTTGATTGTGTATTTAACAGGGAGAGGACAGCGAAATTAATTGGAGAGAGGCCTTAATCTGTCCGCCTTAAATGTCACCCCTGTATTGTGATGCCTTTGGTGACATGGTGGGACACAAAAAGGCAGCCATGAAAATGCGAGTGAATCAAAGAAATGCATTAATAAGACAAAATGAAAATTAATAAGGTGTTGTTGAGCCATACATCATTTTAGGAATTTAGAGTTGTTAAAAAGTGTTGTTTTCCTACTGGAAAGCAAGGAAAGATTCCACTGCAACGGTCCCTAAAGTTAGAGATTTCTTGGGCCTCAATAGTTGAATACTATAACAAATTTCATTGATTTGATGCAAGCACACAAATGTATATGAGTTGATATAACATATAACATAATAGGTCATCATTTCCAACTCTCATGTTTTTCTCAATTCTCTTTACTGTTAAATTTCTATGTTATTCTTCTTGAAACATGGATGTTGTTGTCGTTGGGATTTACTTTTTTAATCCTCATGTTTTCAAAAGTTTATTTCGCAGAGTTATACAGTATGGGTCACTATTTTAGCTTTAGTTTATGCTTTCGATGAAAGGGCCACAAGATTGTTACATAAAATTTTTCCTAGGGCTGCAAAAGGCCACTGGGCCACACATTAGGCAACCTGGAATAATGGAAACAATAGGAACATTTGCAAGATCTAAATACCTGTGTGACTGAATTTCCTGCTAAATTATAAAAATAAATTTCATAATTTAATTTGAATAAACCTAAGGTATTTTTAGCAGGGCGTGTAATTTAAATATCATACTAAAATATTTTATATTAGCGATGCACGATATAATATCGGCCTTAAAACTGAATATCGGACATCGGCCACCCC